TCTTAAAAGCTGTTTACCCACCTTGGGCTCAGCACTGTGGGACTTATCTTTATTCCCCACCTTCCCACAGCTTGTTTGATGCTGTCTCTTCATTAATTCGAAACAAGATCCACAGGCTGCCAGTTATTGACCCAGAATCAGGCAACACCTTGTACATCCTTACCCACAAGCGTATCCTCAAGTTCCTCAAACTGTTTGTAAGTGTCCTCAGCCTGGTTTTTACTCCTTATATACAAGGTTGGATGGGTATCCAGGGGTGGTTTGGGGAGCCTTCAAGATCAAACTGATGGTTCTCTCCTCAGATCACTGAGTTCCCCAAGCCAGAGTTCATGTCTAAGTCTCTGGAAGAGCTACAGATTGGCACCTATGCTAACATTGCTATGGTCCGCACCACCACCCCTGTCTACGTGGCTCTGGGCATCTTTGTACAACACCGAGTTTCAGCACTGCCAGTAGTAGACGAGAAAGGTGAGAGATTTCACAGAAGAAGAGGGAGGGCTCCAGGGAAGCCAGGGTGGTTCTGGGAAAATCTGTCCGTCAGCTCAGTCCGGAGGGCGATGCTATAGGCAGGGGGAGCCTTGGATGCCAGATCCTCCTTGCTGAGCTGCCTCTGTCCCCCTAGGGCGTGTGGTGGACATCTACTCCAAGTTTGATGTTATCGTGAGTGATTGTGGAGGGGCTGGGAGGTAGGGAAAGGGGTGGGGTATTGAATGTGGAGAGGGAGTAGAAGAGAGTCTTTTCTGGGACCTAAGGGTTTTAGAAGCTTCCAAACTTTTGAATCCTATTTGAAAAGGAATTGAATGAGTTGGGTGTGGCTTGTGGGCATGGCTGACAACTACCCTAAATCCCTCTGGTGTAGGTGGGTGGGGTCAGGGGTTGGGGGCTGGCTCCCTTGCTTCCTGCAAGCACCTTCCTCTCTCTCCCCAGAATCTGGCAGCAGAAAAGACCTACAACAACTTAGATGTGTCTGTGACGAAAGCCCTCCAACATCGATCACATTACTTTGAGGGTGTCCTCAAGTGTTACCTGCATGAGACTCTGGAGACCATCATCAACAGGCTGGTGGAAGCAGAGGTAGGGAGGCCAGTGACCCAGAAGGAGCTGGGGGAAGCAGCTTTGAGTGTGGGGTTTGGCAAGGAGAGTCGGGGTTGAAGGGCTCATCCTAACTGAGGCCGTCACTAAAATCCCTTTTCTCCTGTGTTGCTTCACGCAGGTTCACCGACTTGTAGTGGTAGATGAGAATGATGTGGTCAAGGGGATTGTATCACTGTCTGACATCCTGCAGGCCCTGGTGCTCACAGGAGGAGAGAAGCCCTGAGCTGGGGAACGGGTCAGGCAGCACCAGGGGACATACCCCACTCACTGCCTGCCCACAGTTCTAGGAACCACAGATGAAACCTTAAGAGAATTGTAACTCTGTTCTCTGCTTGGGAGCCCCCTAGCTGGGACTCCCTGGGAGCTGGGGAAGGTGTGGGGGGAGGAAGGAGAATGGATTTTTAGCTGTCCTTGTCCTCACACATACAGCCTAGCCCATCTTAGCCCCTGCCTTCTTAGACATATCCCCCTTACTGGGTGAATGATGGGCTGTGTGCCCCTCAAGCAAATTCTGATCTCTAAGAGATCCCCAGACCTCACCCAGCCTTTGCCTCTGCCTTTGCCCCTGACTCCACCCTGAGATAATAGCACAACAAACCCCTTCTAAAGGTATTTTTATTTATCCTGTTAAATGCTGTATGGAGGAGGCTGAGTCCATTTAGTGACGTTTCTTCCCATAATGGCAGTGGGGAGGATTGTGGGGAGGAGGGCCTTTGGGTTCCTGTGCTGTGTGCATATGAAGGGAGGTGGGGGTTAGGAAGAGGAGGAGGGCAGAGTGATTAGCTGAGGTTATTGCTTTTCATGGCAAACGTAATTAAAATGACAGGAACCTCTTCATGGTATTGCAGTGTTTTTGATTCTTGTAGTTGATAGACACTATGCTCAAACGTCCTACTTCATATGGCTTCTTTAACTCATTATTGACAACAACAGAATAATGGCACATGTATACACACACACACACACACACACACATACACACACACAGATAATTGTGTCAGGCACCATTCTCTGTGCCTTACATATATTAATTCATTTAATCCTCAGAACAATGGTAGGCACGATTCCAGTTTTACAGATTGTTCAAAAAAACTGAGGCACAGAAGACTAAGAACCAGCCCAAGGCCACACATCTAATAAAATGTAGAGCTAGGATTTGAACCCAACAGTCTGGCCCCAGAGCTCCTGCTCTTTACTACTGTGCTAGACTTACTACCTTTCCCAGTCTATTCCCGGAAATTCTCCTTGTTACCTCACTTTCCCCTCTGCCTGAACCATAGCTGGGCCCCAGGAAAATCTCATAATAGTATTTTGTCTCCAGAGAGTAGAGGGACTGAGGTCTCCTTTAGGCAGAGAGACATGCCACAGTCATCAACTTTTCTCAGGGAAGGTTGGACTCTGTGTTTGAATTTTGCTGGGCTGGCACTGTCTTTGAACCCACAAAATGCCTTGCCATTCCGCCAACGTGCGAATGAGCTGGAGGGTGAGGGTTGTGGGGAGCAGGCTCTTTACCTGTGCTGGAACCGTGTGGGCCAAAATAGTCAACACCAAACACCATAAGGACTGCTAGACTGTTGGGCATGAGCCAGATTTTGGGTGCCATCTCACCACTGACTTGTAGGTTTGATACCGTTTCCTGCTCAAGACCAGAAGCAATCTTGGAGTAATTCCTTGCCCTACGCACACTGTACCTAAGAACTCTGATGAACCCTGACATACCATATTGGTTCCTCCAAAGTAGGTTTCCTGACGGCACATGCGCAAGAGTTTCAAGGCATCTGTCAGGGCCCCCATCTTGGCTCTGGAGAAAGTCCCTGCTTCTGCATTCTCTTCTTCACAGCTTACAGCACATTCCCAGACTTGGGGGAGAGAGGCTTCCAAGTTATTAGAATTAGGGTATGTTTATGTGGGGGGGTGGTGAGTGCATGATGGAAAGGACAGATGTCTCCTTATGTCACATTCCATCATGGACAGTTTGTCTAGGGAGGAGGCAAGGGCTTTAAAAAGCCTTAGGACTCTGGTGGGACCTAGGTGGAAGGAAGCACTGTGGAGCAAAGAGCCACCAGTGTGCAGAGCTGGTAGGTGTGTGAAGGGTCTGGGGGGCGGGGAGGGGCCTCCAATGGTTGGAATAGGGGCTGTTTGGGTTATTGTAAAGGTCCATACTGGGGAGCAGGGGGCCTGGGTTTGATTGTTCTGGTTCTCAGTAAGTCCATCTCTGCCCCACAACACCCTTCTGGCTCCATCTTCGTAAAAGGAAGGGTCTGTACCCAAAGGGCTGCATGATCTTTTGCCTCTCCCATTCTCCCCTAAAACCCAACCAATCAGTCTCAGAATCTGAGAATGGAGTAGAAGGAAAGATAAGGGACAAAATTGAGGAGCCTCATGGCTTATTCTTACTTAGTCCTCTTAGAAGAGGCAAATTATCCCTTCTTCCTCAGCAACCATTGCCATACACACTCTTCTCCCACCTCCCTGCACCCGTCTCCTCCACTGGAGCTGCTGCCATGGTTGCCAGGCATGGTTGCTAAGTCTCTGCATGGAAGGGTTGGCGTGGGCTGTGCTGCCACTAACATTACCATGGTGAATCAGGGGACACCTGGTATAGGCTTGGGGGGAGGGATCATGTAGATGTAAGCAACACCTTCTGCCCCTGGGACAGAATGATCCTAAAAGGTGACCATCTTAAGCACCACTTCAGGTGGGGGGGAAGTGAGCCAGGGATTGTGGTAGTGGTGGGGGGGAGCTCTACCCTGGGAAGTGGGGGCCACTTTCATCATTTCAGTTGCTAGGGGGTTGGTTTTGCCAAGAGAGCACAGTATTCCTCCTCCATCCCTTCTGAAAGGG